ATTGATCTAGAAATGTCACTGCTAGCAATTTAGTAAGGTGATAATTATGTATAGAGATGTTCACCACAAATTTTATATTTTTAGTGGAAAATCTAAATAGCGTAACATGAATTAGTTTTAAAATTCCATTACAACAAAAAATGCAGCTTATGTAGCTATTAGAAATAGTGATGTAGAATTTTTTATTTTTTAGGTTTACAAGATAGTATGTGTTATGAACTTGTTTGTGTGATGTATCCAGTGATTCACTAGGTAGTAGGATCCAGGTGGGATGATTTCCTAAGGCGACTCACTCGGAGTCACCTGGGGAACTTTTCAAACCACACAGCCTTTCCCAATCACTTGGCCCAGGATATTGTGATATTACCTTCTGGAGACACAGCTTCACTGTGTTCAGAATCACTGGTGGGGAAAGCGAGGTGCACATATATGTTTGCATGTGGGATATTGATGGGATGATTACCAGGAGTTGTCTCTGAGAGATAAGCTTTTTAGGTGGTATTCAATAATGAATATTTTAATAGTTATGGTAAAAATACAGTTTGCTTAACCATTCACCTGTTGAAGAACCTCTGGGCTGTCTGAAGTATTGGGCTATTACAAATAAATCTGCTATGATGTCCACATACAGGTTTTTGCGTGAACATAAGTTTTCATTTCTCTGACATAAATGTCCAAGAGTACAATTGAGACTTGTTTTATAGCCTGGCATATGGTCTCCCCTGGAGAATGTGCCAGTGCACTTGAAAAGAACATAAATTATATTGTTAGGTAGTGTTCTAGAGATATCTGCTAGGTCTAGTTGGTTTATAGTGGTGTTAACATTTTCTGTTTTCTAGTTTATCTCTGTCTAGTTCTATTTTTGAAAGTGAGGTATTGAAACCTCCAACTATTATTGTTGAATTGTCTATTTCTCCATTTCGGGTCAGTTTTTATTTCATGTATTTTGGTGCTCTATCATTAGGTATATACACATTTATAATTATTACTTTCTGATGGATTGAGTTTTTCATCATTGTGAAATGTCCTTTCTCTCTGCTGATATCACTCAGTATGTCATTCTAGCATCCTTGTGGTTGCTATTTGAGAGATTTTTTTTTATATTCTACTTTCAGCTTGCAGTATTTGTATTTTTCAATATAAAATGTGTCTTCAGTAGACAAAATGTATAGATTGGGCTTTTTAGCTCATTCTGCCAATGTCTGTCGTTTTTAGATTGTTTGATTTATTCATACTTTGTGTTTTATTGACAATGATATAGTTGAATTTACAGTTGCTTACTGTTTACTTTTGTTTTGTATATGCCTTATCTTTTGTTTGTTCTTCCACTACTGCTTTCTTTTGCATTAGGTGAATCTTTTAAATCTAGCATTTTAATTCTTAAAGGATTTTTCACCTTTTTGGCTATTATTTTAGTGGTTGCTCCAGACCTCACCATATATATCTTATCACATCAGATTCAGCTTCAGATTTACACTAGCTTATTTCAGTGGTACATGGAAATAAATCCTACATAGTTCTATTCCCTAGTGCCCCCCCCCACACTATCTTACACACACACACATATTTTTTTCTTGGTGATGTTATAAAAAGAAAGGAGCTATTTTAAAGATTCCTATACTCCATCGCAGATCATCAGAGCCAGAGCCTATATTTTTAAAGCTTTCCAGGTGGTTATGATGATTGGCAAGTTTGGGGATCACTTTTCTAACAGATGAGGAAACTGAGGCCCAGGCATTCACACACCTGGGTTATGATGAGCCTGTGCTTAGAGCCCAGGGCTTCTGTCTCCCATGATGCTCTTTGCTCCATCCCCCCAATAATCCTCTGTGATCTCTGTCAATTTCTTGCTCTTGACTCCTGTTTGTCAGAGACAGGGAGGATATAAAATGCTTTGTAGACCATTGAGACTTTGTGGAGATTTGAGGGGAACCCAGCCCAGCACAGCACAGTCCGTGGTTCCCGGAACGCTTACCCTGAGGTTACTTACGAGGAAATAACCCGGCAGGCCAAAGCACATTCTACCTAGTCTTTTAGCATTTATTAAGTATCTAGTGTGTATCAAGAATTGGCATAAGTATTTAGGACAAAAATACAAAACACGATGTTTGCTCTCAAGGTGTTTATGAAATATATAAATAATGTATGGAAAGATTTAACCTACTCAAAATGTTCTGCGAATTGTGTTTTTCATAACTTACATAGGAACAGCACCACCTGAAGTCATTTGGTAGTAAAACCTGATCTAGTAGTAGTTTGTAACTCAATTCATCTAGCTTTGTGTGAATATTCATACATTTCTCTAAAGAAATTTGATTTATGGAGCACTGCCCCAGACCTCACTGGGTTGCCATGCATATGGTCTGCATCAAATTATCTTCCTACAACCTGAATAATTCTACTTCTAAAATACATTTATCATCTGTCCCAAGGGCTTATAATAAAGGATGGTGTGCTTGTTTTTTACTTCAATCCTTTTGATGCAGGCTGAATTCTAGGTCTGAAGTTCATAACCGTGATTATCAGACCAAGTCCTGTTGCAGAGCACTGGACCAAACTTGGCTGGGGAAACTTCCAGAGCATGATGACACAACCTGAGATAGGGCATGACCAGCATTGGCTATGGTGGCCAAACAGGACAACCCGATGGCACTGACCTACAAAAGCAGGGCAGACCCCTGCAGGGGGCAGTGATTGTGAGCTTCTATCCAGCAGTCGGTATGCGAATCAGATTGGGGTCCAGCTGGAGGAAGCAATTCTTCCAACAAATGGGAACAGCCCCCTGATAGGAAGCACAGAGTGAGAATGTGCAAAGTCAAAGTCAAGAGGTAGGCAGCACAATGCTCAGGGCCAGAATGTTCCAAGGAGCGCACGGGCAAAGAAGCAGGGCTCGCTCGGTGGGACAACTGCCACATGACTGGTGTTCCATGGACGGAGGCAGCACAGAAGAGCAGCTACCTGCCTGGGTGAAAAGTAGGGGCTGGGCCCAGGAGCAAGGCTGCCTTTGCTGAGTTGCAGAGTAGAAAGCTAGGAGAGCCTGAACCTCTCCCACTAAGATCTGGCTTGCTCCTGAGCTGGCATATGGACCAGATTCTAGAAAGCATTCTTCTGCAGCCAGAGCTTGGCACCGAAGGCTAAAGGCTCACAGGGAAGAGAGATGAGGACTCTCTTGTCCTGGATACCATCGTGACTTGGGTTGGTCCCTGTGCAGAGAAGCGTTAATCTTGCTCAGCTCCTGCAATATTCTTACTGATAAAAGGGTCTTTGTTTTGTTTTGTTTTTAGTTGAGGTTGTGCCTGTTTTGTTTTTTTTTTTTACAGATTTATTTATTTATGCATATAGAAATGGGGTAGAGCCAGAGGTGCAGGGGTAGTGAGGGATTCACCAGAAACAGAGTGAGGAGAAGAACAGGCAGATCAACAAAGTACACTGTTGAGGGGAGCAGTGGGTGAGCAGGAGAGGTCTGCTGTGCTATGTGGGTCAGCTCCAGGACGGGGATCAAACTCACACTTAAGCTGCCACTGCTGGGCTTAGATCTGCAGTGCAGAGCTACAACCCGCTGCGCCACTGGAGAGGGCCCAAAAAGGGTCTTTGTTTACACAGGGCCCTGGGTCATGTATACCTGACAGTCTATGCTAATAATGTGGCCTTGGGCCACATAATACCCTCCCCTCTACCTCTGGAGGGGCTGTCCACGCTTACTATATGACATTCTGGAAAAGACACAAATTCAGAGACAGTTAAAGGATCAGTGGTTGGCAGGTTGAGATTGAGGGGTGGGGTGTGTGTGTGTGGAATGACAGTGGGACAGAGGATGTTTAGGCAGAATTCTCTGTAGGTACCATAAGCACAGGTGCATGTTATCACACAACTCCCCAAGCTGCTAGAACGTGTGACAGCAAGCATCACGTGCTGGACATGATGGACTTTGGGTGATGAAGAGTCAGATGGAAGACGTTGTTCATGGGGGGGTCTGTGTGCATGCAGAGGCAGGTGAAAACGGGAAATCTTTCTTTCCCTTCAATTTTGCTGTGCGCTTAACTGCTCTAAAAAATAAAGCCTTCATCTCAAAATACAGAATTCAGGGCAGAGGAACACATTCACTTGGTTTCCCTCTATTGCTTTAAAAACCAACTTTTCAGGGGCCCTCCCTGGTGGCGCAGTAGGTTAAAGCACAGCACTGAGAAGCTAAAACCACTTCAGCATGAGTTCGAATCCTGCCCGGGAGGTGACCCACATAGTATGACAGACCTCTCCTGACCCTCCCACTGCTCCCCTTTGTCAGTTGGCCTGTTCTGCTCCCTGCTCTGTCTCTGGTGAATCCTCTCACCACCCCTGCACCTCTGGCCTGTACCCCAGTTCTGTATGCATAAATTAATAAATCTTAAAAAAAAAACAACTTTTAATTGGTTATAGTGAAGATGAACGCTCTCTTGCCTTCACAGGTCACATGAGCCTCTTCTCTCCTCTCCAGCTAGGCAAGTCAGCCTTGGCCATGACTTCCACTTTCCTGCCATCTTGGGCCCCTGAATTTCCATGGACTTCCCACCCCATGTCCCCACCTTGGGTGGCCTGATTGGTCCCCGCATAGGACAGACACAGATGCTCACAGGGGTCTGTTTCTCCTGAACCCGCACTGCCCAGAGGGTGCCATCACCCTTCTGGCTCTAGCAGGCACCCAGCCTGAAGCCCCAACATCTCTAATAAGCTGGAAGACAGGAGAAACTGCATGAATTTTCAGATGCAATACCCCCGGAGAGGGGTCTGTCCTCTCTTCTTCTCAAGGCAGCCTCAACCCCAGAAGAATAAATGTTCCCCACCCAGAAGAATAAGTGAAGCCAGAGGATGAGAAAGCCTTTCAGTAATGCTCCACCCCACCCTAGAGAAAGAAACAGTTCACAGAAAGCTAAAAACCTGAAAATTTTAGCTTAAACAGTCATCAAAATTTCCTTTTACTTTAAAACAAAAGTGCATTTGATGAGAGATACAATTTTGCTTTAAGTGTTTTCAGCAGCTTTGTTCATAACTGCCACAAGCCGACATGCACTCTGGGGTCTTACCCCCGGGTTCGGATCTGGCTTCTCGGTGTGCCAGCTGGGAGGCCCCACGGGAGGTCCTTTACCCCTGCTTTCAGCCTGGCTGTCTCGTAGCCCTGTGTGAACAATCTGTGTTTAACAGGCATTAGTAAAGTTCTTAGACCAGGGGCAGGCACATCAGCACTGCTCACATTTTTGTTATTATCATTTTAAAATAAAATGCACACAATGACTAACTTAGATTATAAAGTTCCCCCATCCCACCCCTGTCCCTATGAAACCTGGGTAAAACTGATCAAATCTGAAAATGTGCCATGTTCTCGAACCCTCTGTCCCGCCTGCCTGCCAGACCCTCTCTTCTCGGGCCCTCTCCAGAGAGGGCTGGCAGAGTAGACACGTCAGGTCTGGCTTCTCCCACTGAGCGCAGCTGTAAATGTGTACAGAGAGGAAGTATAGAGGTTTATTTAAACTAGAAATCTCCTCCTGTTCTCTCCCCAGGGGTTCAGTGCTAATAAATTGGTATTAATAAACTAAACTAATTGGGGATGGTCAAGCACAAAGACAGGACTCTCAGCTGCTACCTCCTGGCTGCCAGCCCCTCTCATGCTGATGCTGGAAAACAGCAGAATCATGCTGGGGTGTGGTGGGGGAAGGGGCCAGATCGGCAAAAACAGAGGGGCCTGGGGTCTGGAACCTGGGGGCCCCTGGCTGCTACAATGTGCAGGGGAAGCCTCCTTGCTTTACGCCAGCCTGGAAGTTCTGGTCAAGAGTAGGCGGAAGTATCCTTACCATCTGGACCAGCCATTCCTCCAGCAGAGTGGAATCATACCCATAGGAGATGCAGAGGACCCATGGAACAAGGATCACGTTTTCTCTGGTAGAAAATTGAGACAGTGGTTATTCTGCCTTTGCTGCGTGCAAGATGTGTTGTCTGAAAGATCAGTTGGATCAAGTTGCAATGGCTGGGACACTTCAGTGGTCTGGAGAGAACAACGGGAAAGACTTGTATAGCTCTTACCTTACGTGGAAATTCTGGTGGCCACATTAGTGACGTCCCCTGGTTGACACTTCTCCGGAAGCTGGGCTTCGATGGCTATTTCTGTCTAATATGTGTATTTCTCCAGGAAATAATTCTAGCAACGTGATGCTTACTGCGAATACAAGAAGGGAAACAGACATTAGCTTTGGGGCTATGAGGACAACCCCATCTCCTTCTTTGGCCTGGTCGTTACATATCTGACAGCACCTAATCACAACCTGCTTGCTTCATTTGGCCTGTGTTTATTCTTCAAAGGGGCAGGCTTTAGAACGTCCTTGGAAATGTTCTCTTGCTTGTCTTAGCTGCTGAAAAGACTTTAGCTGATGAAAGTCTGTGGGCCCTTTGACCAGCAGCTAGCACAGTGCCATGTGCAGGAGGTACTTACTTGGCTCACCAGAACACTGGCTGGCTGGGCACTGCAGCCTGGGTGGCACAAGTGGGCAGGTGTCCAGGTGATGATAGAAATGTTCTTCCATCTGGGTTGTCCGAGACAGCAGCCGTGGGCCACGTGTGCTTCTGGGGCACCTGAAATGCAGCTAAGGGATGAAGGGATGAAGTTCATTTAAACTGAAAGTCACATGTGGTTGGTAGCCGTCTTCGCAGGGCAGTGATCTGTACTCAGGCTTGCTTTGCTTTTATCCACCCATTGGTTTATTTAAATTTAAGTAAAATTTAAATAGTCTCAGCTATTTGGGTCTCCCTGGTGGCGCAAGGGATTAAGTCTCCATATTATGAAGCTATCCTCAGCCACTGCAGCACGAGTTCGATCCCCAGCCAGGGAGGTGACCCACGTGGCACAGCAGAGCTCTCCTGCCTCTCTCCTCAGCAGTATATTTCAATCTGTCTGTTCTGTTCCTCACTCGGTCTCAAGTAGATCCTCCTACCCCTTGAACCTCTGGCCTATTCCCCAATTTGTGTATACATAAATAAATCAATCTTTAAAAAATTAGCTTCAGCTACTGGTAGCACTGTGCATAAACAGGAGTCCCTGCTCTCAGGAAACTTCCAAAATAGTGGGGGAGATGTGGGAAGTCCAGTGGTTTGAGGGGAGCATTTGCCACGAGCCCTGCTGCCCACAAGAGGCTGGTAGAGAGCGAGAATTCACGGGAGATGTTTACAGGGGCCTGACATCAGAAGAGCGCAAGGATAAAGTAAGCAGACGAGGCCCTCCCTGGTGGCGCAGCAGGTTAAAGCACAGCACTGAGAAGCTAAAGCCGCTTCCGCATGAGTTCGATCCCCGCCTGCCCCGGAGGTGACCACATGGCGTGGCAGACCTCTCCTGACCCGCCCGCTGCTCCCCTCAGCAGTGTACTTCGTTGATCTGCCTGTTCTGCTCCCACTCTGTCTCTGGTGAAGCCTCTCGCCGCCCCTGAGTCTCTGGCCTGTACCCAGCTCTGTATGCACAAATAAATAAATCTTAAAAAAAAAAAAAAAGTAAGCAGACGATTCGGGAAGAGAGACGGTGTAATGTGTTCTAACTGTTTGGTTACGATGGCGTGGGCGTCCTTGTGGTTACCAGCGCACAAACACTCTCAAGACTGCACAAATACATTTACAGACAACCGCAAGTAAAAGCTCTTTTAACAAGGGTTTTCTAAATACCAGGATTTCCTTTTGGGGTGGAGGTGGGAGATGCTGTTCACTCCTGTTTGGAGAACAGCGTTACGAGATAACAGGGTTATCAGATAGAATATATGACTATATGAAAAATAAATGAAACCAAGCTTTCAAATATTTTGAGAGAGCATTTGAAGGGCTTGTCTTCCCGTGTCTGGCTGGTTGGAGGTGGGAGGTGGGAAAGAGAAACGGTCTGCTTTCACTGCTATTGTCCATAAACACCTGGGGGTCTTTGACCACAGTGGAGAACAACTCCCCTTGTGCCTCTCTCTCTAATACAAGAATGCAGGTGAAACTTGGCCCAAACGAGAATTGCAGGGAGGCTTGAAAGGGGGACTATGTGTCATACAGGGGCAGGCACCGGGTGCTCCCCTCTGCCCTGCCCTCAGAGCAGGGCCAGGCAGTGACATGGGCCTAGAGTTCAGGCCATGCCCACGGGCCAGAGCTCTCCTCCCTCTTCAGCACCTCCCATCACTGCCCTGTCTGCCAGAGGTGGAATTTCACTGCAAGGCCAGAAGGCTGATTCCATGAACCTCAGAGAGGCCCCTGTACCTATGAGCCAGCAACTGAACCTGAGTTTTCCAAGTGACCCCAGAAGCTCAGCTTTCCCACCCTAGAGCCAGGGGGCAGGTGAATTCCAAGGAGATGATTTTTTCAATTCCAAAGAGGGGGGTGAGGAAGCAGGTGTGAAATTGTGTGGGCCTCTTGGGGCATCTCCCTGGAGTCCTCCACCTTCACTGGGTCCTGCGGTTTCTGCAGGTACTTCAGCAGGGGAGGGACAGGTCACCCTTGAGGTGGGGGGCTTGGTTCTCAGTACTGAAGTGGGACTTTAGGTCTTGGCCCTTGGGTGGGAAGCTGGGCCTCTCAGGATGGCTCTCAGGACTAGGTCCTTCCTTTCCACTGGCCGGTACCCAGGGTGAGTGGGGTGTACAGAAAGGCTAGATCACTATGAATGGGCTTCATTTGGGGTCTTGTGGAAACTATGGGGTCCCCACACATGCCACTGTCGAGTTGTCCTGCCATCATGAGTTATCCAAATGGGGGCTGACTCAGGACCAGTCTCTTGTCCCCTTTCTGTCCGCTCCCCCAACCCCCTCACCCCACCTCCTTTCTCCTTCCCTCCCTTAATTCTATGCACAAATGGAGATTGGAGGCCTAGGGAGAGTGGAAGATGCTTGGGAGACAAGAGGTTTAGCATCCCGGGATGGGGGGGGGCATGGGAAATCTGGCCCCCCCCCCAACGGACTTCTCTCAATGGGAGAAGTCTGAGCATGCGTTTTTATTTTATTTCCTCCTACAATGTGATGGGCATGAATTTCTGGAACTTTCTAAAATTAACCCCTTGTTCCTCAGCTTGGTTCTCCTGTCTTTGCTCAGCCTAGCATGGCCATCCCTCTGTCCTCATCCTTCCACAGAATTCCAGAATGTCTACCCTTCAGGGCTTGTCACACTGTGGGTCCCTGCGAAGGGGACAGGACAGTGGGGACAGGCACCTCTGGAGAGTCTCTGAAATCCCAACCCTACAAAGTTAGGGTGTACTCTGCAGGGGCACTGTCACTTCCAGCACCAATCACAACTTCCAGCACACCTAAGTCCACCCCAGCTTCAATAGTTTGCTAGAAAGACTCACAAGCCTTGCAGAAAACCAGTGAGTTCATGGTTATGGCTTGTTACCTGGAAGGACAGAGGTTCCAGTAGCCAAGGGAGAGGCAGAGGGAGCAGCCCAGCCAGCCCCCAGAGCTCCCTCTGTGGAGACAACCCCGCCAACAGACAGCCATGTCCCAGTAGCCATGGAAGAGGACATTTGGGGAGTGATGCCAGCGTTGGGGGGGTGTGCTCCCCCGCAAGCTTAGTGCCCAGGATCTATACTAAGGCTCTGTTATATAGACAAGTCTCACCACCCCCATGGGTAACCTGTGTCCCAGTCGCTCAGAAAATGCCCCTCTGACACATGCCTCTCCCAAGATCATACTGTTAGCAGAGACTGTCCAAAGGGCCTGGGGCCCAGGAAGCAAAGAGGCTAATAGCAGGCACCCCAGGGGGCAAAGGCCCCTCCTGAGCATGGTGAACACTTCACACACCCCATCTGGGAGACACTGCATTTTACTATGCTTGCTGGGCTTCTATTTCCTCTCAGTAAAACTGGAGATGATAATCCCCATCTCGCTGGGTTCTGGAGGCCGGAGTAATAAAGTATATGCAACAGTCTTCCTGACAAAAATCAGGCTCTCCTGATTTCCTCAACTGCTCTGCTCTCATCTCCGAAACCAAACCCTCTCTCTTCCCATCTTATATCAATTGCCTTTGTTTTGTTCCCCCAGGAAAGGATAATACCCGACGTGGTTTCTAAGCTCCTCTGCTTTTTAAATGATGTGTGTGTTACTGGTTATCAAAGTGGCTCCACCCTCCTCCAGGCCTCGGATCACCACATTGTATTCAGCCAGTGCCCTCTGTGTGGGCTGCACTGAAATCGTGTGCCACATCTCTGAGACCGTGCCAGTGTTTCTGCAGGCTGGAGGCCGGTACGTAGCATCTGTGGGTTGGAGGCTACATTTACGGTCTGATGAAGAGGAGGGAATGGGGTCTCGGAGTGCTGCAAGCACCTCCTCTCTATTCGTGGTATCTTGTTTCTGAAACAACAGGAAGCAAGAAGAGTATGCTAGAATTTGATAGAGCAGTGTGAAGGGCACACTGGTATATTATTTATGGTACTTGTCTGTTATAGTTCAAAGATGTCAAAATAAAAAAAGATAGTAGTTAAAAAATAAAGTCTGGAAGGTACTAACAGGTTGTTCTAAAAAGCTTATCAAATTAAAGCTCCACCCATTAATGCACCAAGTGCAGGGCGGTTTGGAGGGTATTCTGACACTGGTGGGGTGCTGTCCTGCGCCTTAGCCTTCCCCATATTGTGCGTGCCCAGTGGCCGACAGCAAGCACCCAGATTCAGTGGGTGAACCTGGAGATGAGGCAGGGATATTCATCTGAGACTCCCCACCATCAGGACAGAGGAAGTAGTGCATGGAGCTTCAGGGCCCGGGCCAGCAGAGTTCACGCCTGCTGGGTTTCATCCAGAGCTAGAGACAAGAAAAGAAAGCAGGAACGTCAGAAGTGTCTGGAAAGAAAAAGTGTCATTCAGAACTGGAGACACAACTGGGTTTCATCCAGAGCTAGAGACAAGAAAAGGAAGCAGGAAGGTCAGGAAGTATCTGGAAAGGAAACAGTGACCACTTTCTGCCCATGGCATCGAGTAAGCCTGCTCCAGACTCACAGCAGAATGGCCTCACCCACAGAGCTGGACTTTGTCCCCAGAGTCCATCACCAGCAGGGAGGGCCCTACCCTGGTCAGAACAGGTCCCAGTCACAGCTCTGGGGATACTGAGTCCTCCAGGAAACACCTCTTTTCCAGTCGGGGAGCGGGGAGCAGAGGGGGTATCTCTGCAGTTTCCTCAGGCCAAGACTTGAATTCTTTACTCTAAGGCCATGAGACTTGAGTTCCAGATTAGTTTCAATCACCAACTCACTCTAAGTTTCTATTTCTCGCCTTCAGTTTTTTTAGCTGTTAAAAAAAAAAATGAAGGGGTAAAAAGGAATGCCAGGCAATAACTCACTCGAGAATCTGGGCTTATAAAGTCCCTTTTATCATTAATGTTCACTTTGGCACCATTTACAGATGAGAAAAGTCAATGTCAGCTCTGCTCAAGTTCACACTGCTGGTCGGTCAGACTTTCTTCGCAAATTCTGTGTTTCTTCAACTTGACAATACTAATAAATATAATTGTGTATTCCGATGGATGTTAGCTAGACTTACCGTGGTGATCCTTTTGCAATATGTATAAATATCAAATCATATTGTACACATGAAATCCATATAATGCTATATTTCAATTAAAAAAAAAAAACAACAAAACCCATGACCATCTAAATCTGATGTAATGGTGGGATTTGAACCCCAGTGAACTGCCTGCATATTGATACCATGGACACTATAAATACTGCCTATCAAATATAGACCTCCCAGCGCTGTGGAAAAAAAAAAAAAAGCAAGTGAAAGATTCAAGAAATGCAGTAGCTGACCAAAAGTAGGTGCTTAGAAAAAGAAAATTATTTTCTTTATCCCATGGAGCCAGCCATAGCTGGACACACTTCCAGTCCAGTAAGGGCGGCAAGGAAGACCCCACTTGCTGCCTGGGTCTAGGCTGGAGGGCCCCTGGGGCTTGAAGCACCTCTCTTTAAGTTCTCTGTCAGTTCCCCCAGCGCAAGGGACTACCCCCGGCCGCAGTGCCATCTGGGACAGGGCTTCCTATTTCAGGTTATCCCTTTCAGAGAATTTTGCTGCCCTCTACATTCCCTCCTGCATCTCTTCACTGCGGTTGACTAGATGCCCCAGAGAAACTGCAGGACTGGTGTTCCGGGGTCTTCCTTGGGGAAATCCAGGAGGGTGCACTGTTTCCTTCCCACGGTGCTGTTTCACTCACAGGACTGTGATAGGTTGGTCGGCCGGAGGATGCCAAGACGAGGCTTTGAAATAAGTAAAATCGCTTATATAGACAGGCACCCAGTGAAAACTCTTTTGTCTTGGGTCTCTGACAAGCAGGGGCATCTCTGCCACTGGGTCCTGCCACACCCATCCTCCTTCCCTCTATGGCTTAGTCTCTGCCACGCAGCTGTGACTGTAGGTCTCCAAGAGAGAACCATCGGGGGCCGGGGTGGGGGGTGGCTGGACAGCTTCACGTCTCATTAGCAGGCCCGCATTCCTTCACCAACGTGTGCATTTATGGAGCATTTGCTATGTGCTAGGGCTGGGAGCAGGACACATTCCTGCTTTCCCTGTGCTCACAGGCTAGAGGGGAGACAGGGAGGGAGGCCAGTGGGCACAGCTCAGTGAAAGTGGTGCCATGCAGCAGCTGAGCACAGAGCACAGAGCCAGTTGTGGCCAACGGCCTCAGAGTGGGGGCTGTCCAGGGCACTGTGGTTTGGGGTGGGGGCTGGACTGTGAGCTTCCAAGCATCCTTCCAAGGCTAAGATTCTATGATATCCCACTCCAGATCTTTCCACTGTTGCAGGTCGTAAGTGAGCTCAGGTATCTGCCTATGCACGTGAGCCAGGACTGACTGTCTCTCCCAGTGCGTAGCCAGAAGGGACCTGACAGGATTATCCAACCATTTTCCCATTGCTCAGTTGAGGAAACTGAGCCCCACAGAGAAGGTCTGGGGGAGCGAGTCACAGAGCCAGGGTGAGCACTGGGACCTCTGGTCTCCGGCTCTCCCTGCTCTCGAAACGCCTTGCTCCGCCCACACCCCACTCTGAGGCAGAACCCTCCTCCCCACCCCGCTCTGCAGGGCGTACAAAGCCCCCCATTTTACAAAGGGGAGTCTCCACCCAGCAGGTGTCTCACGTGTCCATTTGGGGATCCAACGATTCTCAATCTACCATTAGCAAGTCTCCCTGGGAAGACAAACTGCCCGACAAATTTCTGCCCCCAAGAAGTCCCATCGAGGGTGCCCAGCCACCCCAGACCGGCACATGACCTGGGGTCTCCGCGCAATTCACCTGTGCGCGGAGCTCAGCGGGCGCCCGCGAGCGGCCGGGCGTGGTCACGGCCATTTTCGGCGCCCAGCGGCGACGGCGGGGGCCT